TACTATTCCACAATTAAAAGGAGCCAACTATTGCTACATGGTACCACTGGATGAGTCTCAAAAATATTATGCCACGTGAAAGAAACCTGATTCAAAAGACAACATTTTGTATGATTCCATTTATCTGACATTTCTAGAAAAAACTACTCTTTCGAGAAATAAGGAGATCAATAGTTGTCAGGGTCTGGATGAGGGGATTGACTGCAAATGGGTATGAGGGAAATTTTTGAAGTGACATAAACATTCTAACATTGTATGGTGTGATGATTGCATAACTGCATAAATTTACTGACAATCATTTGACTGTAGCTTACAGTGGGTGAAATTTGTGGTATGTAAGTTACATCTAAATAAACTGCTAAAAATGTTTAATGGAACTCTTTCTGTGTCCCCTGATGTGATCAATTCTCTTTTGGGAACTAGGACTCTTAGACCTGCAAAGTCTAGAGCTGCAGGGACGTGGAAGCTCAGATTCTCCAAGCTGGTCACTGGAAGTGATGGTGATCACAGTTATACTTGGTACTGCCCTAGACCCATGCATTTTACTTATTTGGGAGACCGTATAATAAAATGGTCATTGATTTCGAGTACATACTGCATTCTGGAAGAAGGTGCCCTGCTCTCACAGGGTATTATCTCTAAGCTGGTGACTCGGCTATGCTCTCAAAAGGATATTATGTCTTTCTTTGGGCCAGCTGCTTCTGGATGGTGCAGTATATTGAAGGATCAGTGGATCCCATAATCATGAGCTTATAGCTACACTTACTTTACTAGTCCTTTGGTTTGATGAGATATTATGCAGGACCCATGTCATTAGATCAAACCCCCTGTGAGCTTTCAGATAGGGCTAAGGCCCTGCAGAGAAGAAAGGCCACCTGTATTCCAAAGAGGTATTGATATCAGTCAAGGTGAATTGTGAATTGCTGGCACTTTCAAAATAGAAATAATCTAATACAATCAAATTACCACTAAATGGCTGATTAGTCTCTAATACAATCAAATTACCACTAAATGGCTGATTAGTGGTGAGTTTTTGTTGCTGGCAGTTTAGACATTCAGCTGCTGAAGTTGCTATATTAGCCTTGGTAAGTGGGAGCCTCTGTTGTTTAGTCCACAAATAAACCATACACCCATGGCTACTCTGCTCACTGTACCAATGATAGATGTTGGATGATATCAACTGGATGAATCATTCTATTTGTTTGTTGAGTTTCATGAGGAAGACAGGGTCTAAAGATGCACCTGGCATGTGGGCAGCTAAGGAGATGAGAGAAACCAGACTCAACCTTCATGTACTGAAATACTGCTGCAAGACAGAACATTGCTCTGATCTCTTCAAGGGATTCTCCCACTGGAGAAAGAAACCACAGAGCCAAGGAAATTCACAGGTGGGAGTGACCTAAAATGTCTGGTGCTACCTCAGGATGAATATGTCTCAGACTCTTCCAGGGAGAAGGACACATCCACAGTCACACAGTCTTAAGTTGGGAGAGCAGGGATTTGAACCTAGACATCCCATATCACATCAATCCCTGAACACACTCCAAATTTACAGGTGATTGAATCCACAGAGGGTAAAACCATTGCAGAAGGGAGTCACTGATTACAAGAAGTACTACATGTTGAGTTCAGATAATCATTTCAGAACTGATTTCTCAAAGACCTCTGCATAATATTTTGGCGCTGTTTGCATATGGCACATGAAAGGGAACATCTATTTTATATGTTTATATGTAATATTATTACTAACATTAGATGTGACTTTTGTGTCCTCTCAAGAAAGCAACTTAATCTAGGTTAGTAAAGAACGGAATCTAGTATAGAGATACAGAGGTGTCTTTTAGAAGCAGTAGTTCAGGAATGTGAATGTGGCCAGAGTTTAGGAAAAATAGAAGTGAAAATACCAGAACACATGAGGATTCCCTCATTAGCTCTCATCTTTGCTCCTCTCTCTTTGGTTACTCTTTCCTTGTTACACCCTTGGTTCCTCTTAACCACCCCATTCTACATAGTCAAACATGACTATCCCATCATGCCAAAGCTTTCATGTTATGGATCCAGTGACTCACTCCTTGGGTACCAATAACAATCCTTAAAACCTGACAGAAAGAATTTTATTGGTCTAGGTAGGGACTGGATCAGCCAGCACAAACATGAGTGGCTGACTCTGTGGATGGGGATGAGGGAATTGCCCAGAGAAATTAGATTAAGTCATGAGCTACAAAGCCCCCCAAAGGTGTTACAACAATGAATATGAACTGATTCAGCTAAGTGTGGTATTGTATTCTGTCTTCAAGTTTCAAATGGCTTCCTCAGTGGAGTTGTTTAACATATTTCATTAATAATGAAAATGTTCATTTATTAATTAGGAGGCTACTCTTTGCTAGCCACTGGTTTTTGTTTGTTCGTTTGTTTTTTAGTTTGTTTGGTTTTTGTTTATTTGTTTTGTTTGTTTGTTTGAGTCAGGGCCTCACTCAGTTCTCCCGGCTAGAGGGCATCGGCACGATCGTGGCTCTCTGCAGTCTTGACCTCCTGGGCTCCCACCTCAGCCTCCTGAATAGCTGGGACTATAGGTACATGTCACACTCAGCTAATTTTTTTTTTTTTTTTGAGAGACAGGTCTTGCCCTGTTGCCTAGGTTGGTCTCAAACTCCTGGGCTCAAGCAATTGTTCTGCCTCAGCCTCCCAAAATGCTGAGATTACGGGTACCTGGCCACATTTTTTCACATATATACATATTAATCCTCACAACAACTCGATAGGGTTGGTTTAATTACTTTTATTTCACAAATTAGAAAATAATGAGTCTGCAAGATTAAATTTTTCTAACATGACCAAAGTTACACTGGCAAAGGTACTCCATATTAGTCTGGCTGCAAAATTATCTTTTTTGGTGTTTGTTTTGGTTTTTTGGGGGGAGGGGTTTGAGTTGGAGTCTCACTCTGTCACCCAGACTGGAGTGTAGTGGCCGCTCCCGGCCACTGCAACCTCGACCTGCTGGGCTCCAGCTATCCTTCCGTTTCAGCCTTCCGAGTAGCCGGAATTATAGGCGCGTGCTACCATGCCCAGCTAATTTTTTAAAATTTTATTGTAGAGATGAGGTCTCGCTGCCCAGGCGGGTCTCGAACCCGCGGGCTCAGGTAATCCACTCACCTCAGCCTCCCAAAGGCGCGGAATTACAGGCTGAGCCACCGAGCCCAGCAAGGCTGCAAAATTATCTTAACCACAAGGGTAATTGTAAATAGATTTGAACAATCGTTGGCAGTGTTCAGTCCAAGATCCTGAAGAGACGGAGGAAGTCAAGTTTGACCATTAGAGTCTGGATAACAGCAAACACTAATTGTAAGGAAACAAAGAGACTTTGATTATAAACTTTGCATGATGGTAATGATTCATCTAAATGAAACTGCTAGAGATTATCTTCTTGGGCTGTATTATCTAGAGTTTGACTTGTGTTGATACAAACTACTCAGCAAATTTAGGTATAAACAGACATGCTCTGTGTATATTAAGAGAAGAAATTGGTCGAGCATGTGGTTCATGCCTGTAATTTTGCACTTTGGGAGGCCGAGGCAGGAGGATTCCTTGAGTCTAGGAGTTCAAGACTAGACTAGGCAACATAGCAAGACCCATCTCTACAAAAAAATTAGCCAGGTATGGATGCACATACCTGTAGTCCCAGCTATTTGGGAGGCTGAGGCAGGAGGATCTCCTGAGCTTGGGAAGTAAAGACTTCAGTGAGCTGTGATGGTGCGACTGCACTCCAGCCTGAGCAACAGAGTGAAACCCTGACTCAAAAGAGAGAAAGAGAGAGAAAGAGAAAATAAATAGTTACCCAAAATAGTCTCTAGGATATGAAGCAGGAAATAATTAAACATAAAATCCTCTGAGATCCTACAGTCAAAGTGGGGGTTAAATTATTAATCCTTAGATTAATAATTCTGCCATTCAGGATATGTCTTGGTGTCAGTTTTCTAAAATGGCAGGTTGGTGCTCCATTTGGATGTCAATTAAGAAGTAACTTTTGAGCCGGGCTCCGTGGCTCAGCCTGTAATCCAGCGCCTTTGGGAGGCTGAGGTGAGTGGATTGCCTGAGCCCGCGGGTTCGAGACCTGCCTGGGCAGCGAGACCTCATCTCTACAATAAATCAAAAAATCAGCCGGGCGTGGTAGCACATGCCTGTAATTCCAGCTGCTCGGAAGGCTGAGGCGGAAGGATCGCCAGAGCCCAGCAGGTCGAGGCTGAGGTGACCGGGAGCGGCCACTGCACTCCAGTCTGGGCGACTGAGTGAGACTCCAACTCAAAAAAAAAAAAAAAAAAAAAGAAGTAACTTTTTCTCACTGTCATGCTTCCATTACACAAAAGAACAGAAAACATTGTAATTGGCATGTACAATTTGAAACTGGTCAGCACATGAAAGAAATATGTTTTTTATGAAGTTTTTATTTTTATTGCCTATTTTTCAGAATAAAAATAAATTTTAATAATCCCTATCCTTGGTTCCAAATGATTTAGCACAAGACCCCTCTCATTTTTTTTTTTTTTTGAGTCGGAGTCTCACTCGATCTCCCAGACTGGAGTGCAGTGGCCGCTCCCGGCCACCGCAGCCTCGACCTGCTGGGCTCCGGCGATCCTTCCGCCTCAGCCTTCCAAGTAGACGGAATTACAGGCATGCGCTGCCACGCCCGGCTGATTTTTTGATTTATTGTAGAGATGAGGTCTCGCTGCCCAGGCGGGTCACGAACCCGCGGGCTCAGGCAATCCACTCACCTCAGCCTCCCGAAGGCGTGGGATTACAGGCTGAGCCACCGAGCCTGGCTGCCCCCTCTCATTTTACAGAGCTACCGTTCCATCCTCAATCATCCAAGAAGCCCCATCCCAATGCATATCAGTGTGGAAACTGAGGTGTGGGACCATTGAGCAAGTCTATGCTTACCAAGTTGTCATTTCCTGGGGGAGTCCTTGTGTACACAGAACCACAAGATACACCGCTTCCTCTCACTATCCCGGGGCGAAGCATTTCTGACTCAGCAAGTTCCTCACAGCAACCTTCACGTCCTTGTTCCTCAAGCTGTAGATGATGGGGTTGAGCATGGGAGTCAGCACGCCGTAAAATAGGGAGATGAGTTTGTCTGAAACATCCTGCTTGTCTGTCCCCAGGGGGTCCTTGGATTTGGGCTTTGCGTACATGAAAAGAATAGTTCCATAGAAAATGACCACGATGGTAAGATGCGCAGAACAGGTAGAGAAGGTCTTTCGCCGCCCCTCAACTGAGGGGATCCTCAGGATGGTGGTGAGTATGAAGACATAGGAGATAAAAATACACAGGACCGGGGTGCCCAGAAAGATCACATTGGCCACCCCCATGCTGATCACATTGATGGAGATGTCAGCACAGGCCAACTTTAGAACTGCCAGGATCTCACAGGTGAAATGGTTAATGACGTTGTCACCACAGAAAGGTAGTTGTACAGCAAGAGAGATCTGCACCAAGGAGTTGGCTCCACCCGCCACCCAGGAGCTGGCAGCCATGGGCAGGTAGGCAGCCTTGCTCATGACCACAGGGTACCTAAGCGGGTTACAGATGGCTACATAGCGATCAAACGCCATCATGCCCAGGAGCACACACTCTGTGGCTCCCATGGCAAAGGAGAGAAACATTTGCATGGCACAGCCTGAGAAGGAGATGGTTTTCTTGGGAGTGAGGAAACCGTCCAGGACTAGAGGAATAGAAGAGGTTGTATAGCAGATATCCAGGAAGGAGAGGTTCCCCAGGAAGAAGTACATGGGCGTGTGCAGGCAGGAGTCAAGGAGGGTCACCAGGATGAGGACCCCATTGCCCAGCAGGATCACCAGGTACATCAGAAGGATGAGCACAAAGAACGTTTTCTCCAACTTTGGGTGATCGGACAGGCCCAGCAACACAAATTCTGCCATGATGGACTGGTTGGCCATTTCCATTTTAAATTCTCTCTTCCCTTCTCAGGAAAGCTGAGGACAACAAACCTATGTTTATGAAGATCAGTATGTAGGATTTACTATGAAATACTTCTAAAACTTATCATTAAATTTATTCTTTAAGATGCCAACTTGTAAAAGCAGCATCTAAGGGATAAATTCACTGCCTATAGAACTTACTATAAAAGTCAGGATACATCAGGTCAAAAGTAGGAAAAGCAGACCCTGAAAATCTAATCAAATCATGATATATGGGAGAATTTTAAGTCAGATCAATGGTAGTAACATACTTGAAGGAAGGGCTGTGTGAGGATGGGCCTACAGAAAGACCATGAAAGAGGAACCTCGAGGGTGTACTGACTGGTTCCAGCACTGACCATAGAAGCCTGGCTAGCCCTGCTTTTCCCTGAACTGTCCCTGTAGTATCCTTGAAGGCTTTAAGTATCACATTCAGTGATGCTTGCCACTGACATCATGTCACCCACTGCCCTGGTTCTAATTGTGTGCTCGTATAAGATTTAATAATTTTTTGATAATTCTGCTCCATATGGAGTCCTACACAGAGAGAATGTGATGAGCAGAGGCAGGAAGATTAGAATCTAGCTAGCATTTATATCTTTTACTTGATTTCTGGTTTATACTTCGTTTTTACGAGTTTCGTTGGTGATCCCCTTGTCAATGAGTTTCTGGGCAACAGACCCTGGACACCCTCACTGAAGCACTTCTATGTGCCCCTCTCCAACCACAGCCGTTGTCCATGGTGCTGCAGTTTCCCCAGTCTGCTCCAGGCCTCTGAAGGAGCAGGAAGAGAATACAAGGACAAGAGTCCCTCCTGCCTCCCAGTGTAACTTTGTGACTGGGATACTTTGCTTTTGGAACTATTTTATGTCACAGCTCCTAACTCAGACCCTTCAGTATCTGAGTTGACCATTAAACCACTGCAATGCCATAGTCATGCTTTCTCCACAGAAAAGCAGACAACTCTACCCATCCTCAACAAAGGGGACAGAAAATGTCCCTGTACAGCTCTAGATCCTGTACTTAAAGAAAACCTCAAACTTTGACTTCTCATGTTAAAGATGAGGAAACTGATGCTCAGAGAGGACCACCAGCAGCAAGGACAGGGCCAGGTGGTTCCTCACCTTCTCCCCAGGGCTCCTTCTCTCACCACTCTGGTGGTATTCTTGCTCCTCCATCTGAGCCAGAGCAGGTCTACCAAGAAGTAAGGACCAAGTAAAGTCTTGGTCATCCTCATCTTCCTGGGACACTCATGAAAAATGGAAGTACCACTCGTTTTTCCAAGATCTCTGCCTTGTGCCGGATTTGGGTGGGGAGTGGGATGGTCCCTATGTGCCACACATTTCACCTGTGACTATCACACTGTGGCTGGTTAGGAGAGATTGAGTGGGAGATACTGGGCACCGTTTGAAGTTATTCTCGTGCAATTGCCAGAGGAGATTAACTGTGGGGATTAAGAGTATTTGGGGGTAAGAGGTCCGTTTTTAGAGAGCTATTAGTAGCACTGATTAGAGAATATAAGACTTGGCAGAACTGTTGTGTCTCTACAATAAATAAATAAAAAATCAGCCGGGCGTGGTAGCGCGTGCCTGTAATTCCGGCTACTTGGAAGGCTGAGGCGGAAGGATCGCTGGAGCCCAGCAGGTCGAGGCTGCGGTGGCCAGGAGCGGCCACTGCACTCCAGTCTGGGCGACAGAGTGAGACTCCAACTCAAAAAAAAAAAAAGAACTGTTGTAAAGTAACTGGTCTTGCCTTGTTCCCCTCCATTGTATGAACACCTTTCATGAAACACAGCTTTCCCATTTTGCTTTGAACACTTTGAGGTGTGGAGCTCACGCCTCCCATTCCTTCATCAGACAGTCTTGATCGTTAGAAAGCTTTCTCTTACATTGAGCAGAAACTTCCTTCTTCTAATATCATCCCCCATACCTCCCCCCACTCTGCCCCATCTCCACACTGGCCTAGACTCCTAGAACATGCCTGTTCCTTTTCTCCTATAAAGACCTTCAGAGACATGGAAGCTATGACTTAGTCACAACCACCTTTGCTTTTCTCCCTACCTACCTGAAGAATGTTTGGACACAGAGAGAACCTGGTCTACATCCGGTGTGAAGTCCATTCTGGGGACTGGAGCTCTCCCTTATGGCAGGGAAGATGCCAGTAGGTCTGCAGGCATGGGAAGTGATTTTTTTCAACGGCATGCGTTGACTGTCTCTGACTGCCCTTAACTTTTGAGCCTGTACTTGGAAGTATCTAGCCAATTCTGCTTAGCTGTCTTGGAACTAAGCAGTCCTTTCAAATTTCATAGCAAGGTAAAGGAAATTTGGGGTTGGCCATGCCTGGGGAGCTCTAGCTGCTCACTAGAAAGTAAACCCCAGAAAGGGCTTCTCCATGCGCAGCGAGATAGTAAGAAGGACAACGGGAGGAACTGTTCCCAACTGACCCTGCAGCCATGCCCAGCCTGCACGCTCAGGGCAGGCACTGTGCTCTTTGTCCTTCACCCTGCTCTCCAGGGATTCTATCAAGGAGCCATGGAGCAATTTAGAGCTCTGGTTGTTCAGGGGCCAGTTTTAATCCCAGAAGCAATTTAAAGTTTGGTGAAATGCCTCACAGGAGTTTATGGGCCCATGTCCCATAAACCCAATTAGACAAGTTGTAGATAGCACTATGTAAATCTTAACTCTAACTACAAAGGAAAGTTCCTTAGATTAGAAAGTTTCCTTGCTGACTTTCCTGGATGTAGAGGCAATAACTAAGTTCTGATTATTCTTTGACCACAATGTTGTGTCTGTCTGAGCGGGCTCTGCCACTTGTCTTTGAAAAGTTAAGTGTCAAAGCAAGAGGGAGAAGGTTTGCCTTGGCAAGACAGACACACTGCTCATCCCCATGCTCCCCAAGCATGGCCTTCCCTGCAGTCCCTGCCCTTGGTCACATTCAGAGCTGACCAGACCTTGCCCCTGCCCTTGAAAACAGGAAGCAAGAGACATGGTCCATGGGCTAGCACCAGGCACTGGAAAAAGAGCAAAATGGCATGGGCAGGGCTTCTGACCCTCAAAGGCAGCTACACTCCGTGAGTTACTATAATTTCTAAGTGTCCCGAATTTGCATGGAAGCCTGGGAGCAAGGAGGAATCAGAGGAGGAATGTCAGAAGGAAGGGCATGAGGGGGACATGTAAGAGACCTGTCAGGAGAAGACATTATAGAGTTTAGGGACAGACAAGAAAAAGGCTGAACCAAGGACAAGATTTTTAAAATGAAACAAACAAACAAACAACAACAACAACAACAACAAACAGAGGAGTCAGAAGGGGGGAGGCGTTTAAGCTAGCACAGGGGACCAGGAACTGAAATCAAAATATTCCTCCAACTATCCCCTTATTCTGTGCCAAGCACTGTGATGGTTACTGAGGCTAAGGAGATAAATAAGATATCTTTCCTGTAATCAAGGAGTGTGTGGATTAGTGGATATGAAGGGCTTGAGTTAATAATGGACACAATATCAGTAGTGGTTGCCACTTTTTGAGAAGGGCTTTCAACCAAGTTCCCTCTACCGGGCTCCCCAGATTAACTAATACTACCCATTCACTCTGCAAAATATGGGGACCAGCATCTTTGTCAGGCTGCAGGCTGCCCAGTACGTCTGTTCCTGCTAGTTGGGAGGTACACTATGAGGCAATTTTGTTTGTTCTCCAGTCTGCTCAAGCCAATTGTTAATCTTGTAACTATATTGATTTAATTTATATTAAACAAACTGAGCTACAGAGAGAGAACAAAAGAGTTGTTTTTATGAAAACGAAGTTGAATGCTTTGGATAGACTCATTAAAGGCAAGATATTAAAGCAAAGTTCTGTCACATCAGATGCCAGGAAGACAACTGTTAAAATCTAGACAGATTCTGCACTGTGATCCTTTCACAAATGTCTTTAAATCTTACTCTTAGAAATTTTAGTATGAAAATTGGAGACAATGCGTCTTGGGTGTGGTTTATTTAAGAGTCCAATTAGTGAACTCAAAGGCAAGGAAAGGTCCTCGCTGTGTGTCAAAGGATTGGCAAATAAATCCAGAGATATGTTTTAGCTTAAAAGAAAATGTCAGCCAGATGGCATGCACCTGTAATTTCAGCTGCTTTGAGGGGTGAGCAAGAGGGTTGAGTGAACCTGGGAACTCAAGGCTGCAGTGAGCTATATATGATCATGCCACTGCATTCCAGTCTCAGCAAAAGAGTGAGACCCCATCTCTTTTACAAAATATGAAAAATGACAAGAAAATGTTTAAGGCAATGGTTCTCAAACTTTTCAATCTCTAAATTGCTTTACATTCTTTTGTTCCTTGTTCCTCTCTTTAGACATACATTCTCTCATTTTAATTTAATTCTTGGAACGACCCAATGAAGTAGGTATTTTTATTCACATTATAGAAATCAGGAAACAGGCACAGAGAGTTTAAGCACATTTTTTAAGTTTATATCAACAGGAAATCATAGAACTATGATTCAAACCCAGGTTGGTCTAACTCTAAATACTGTGGTTTCTGCTGTGATAATATATTGCCTTCTCTAAAGCAAGTGCTTAGGTTTGGTTAAGTGTTATTAGTGTGCAACTCCAGATTCTAGAAATAGCCCTGTTGTTTGGCCACTGGGTCTGGATGGTTGTCAAGTCCCTTTAAAATCAAATCCATTGTAAGACAGACTAAAAAAAAAAGTACATACTATATGCTTCTAGTTATGTGGCATTCTGGAAAAGAGAAAACTATAGAGAAAGCATTCAGATCAATAGTTTCTAGGAGTTGGGGGTAGAGAGGGAACTGACTGCAAATGGGGCTTAGAGGAACATTTTGGATGAAAGGAATCTGTTATTTCTTGATTGTGGTGGTGGTTATATGACTTCATACATTTGTCAAAACACATTGAACTGTGTGCCTTAAAAATGTGATTCTTTGGTCAGAATCTTAGAATTGCAATAGTGTAATATATGAGAGAACAAGAT